TTGGCCTACGAAAGTCGCTCTCATTAAACTCCCTTCTGTCTCCACTCCCCTTGCCTCTTGCAGCATATGGTGACTTCAAAACGTCTTTCAGTGCAGGCAAAAATAGCATTCCTGATGACATCCCATTTATCTGCATTGCTTTTCAGGGCTGAGCAGTGGGCATGGCCTGAACCTCTGAGGATGCCCAAAATGGTACAAGGAGATGAAGGAAAAAGCATGCACTCGGGGACGGGACGGAAATTCCTCTGTTCTGTTAGATTTCTAATAGGGTGCATCGGTGTTGGAGGGGGCAGACTCTGATCAGCCCTCCTGCTACAGCCAGGGACTATCTACTCTTTGAAACTGAGAGGGATCTGAGAGACATCTTTTCCAAATTCTCTCCTGCTCTAGTAATCTGAGCCCCAGAGAACAGAAAGGTCTTCTCCATAAATGTTAAAGGTCGAACTGAAGTCAAAGCCCCGTGATTCTAAACTCTTCGCCAGGACACTGGGATTTCAGACGTCATCAGGCCCAGTGCTATTTACAGTTGAGCACACAGGGGCTCCAAGAGGAAAGTCACCAGCACAGAAATACTCAGAACAAAGAGCAAAGATGGGTTTGATTCCTAATGCCTTTTCCTGAAGAACAAAGCAATGTGATCTTCTGTGTGTCTGTGCTGGGTGAGGCCACGCACACAGACGTGTGTCACAGACAAGGATGACCACGCTGGCTTCTTTCAGTACCTCGGGTGTTTAACAATGTGAGCCACATCCCGTGTTTGTCATTCCATCACTGCCTCCCCATAAAACAGACACACTTGCCTCACTCCGTGAAGACATCCTGCAGCAGAATTTCAATTCACAGCACAAATGACAGGGAAATCCAAGGGCAGCCTGAGCGACGTTTGCCTCTCCATCAGTGGTGTTGGTCTAAGAAAGCAGTGCAAAGAAAGCTCCACAGGGAAAGCTCAATGACATCTCCAAGCAGCTGCACGGCCAAGCCGCCGTGGCGTGGCTGTGAGTCTCACTCGGTCACCAGCACCCTTCCAGCAACATTCTGCTGTCCACCCTCTGCAGACAACACACTGGCACACACCCATCACACGCTCATTTTTCTACGTCTTTTATGCCTGGATGTGAGGACAATCAGTATCTCCAGACAGAACTGCACCCCTGCTGAGAAGTGAGCCACAGGATGCCATTAAATAACCACAGAGAACGAACAGGCGTGAGTGGGAAGAGATTAGACAGGACAGGCTGAGGTAGGAATCTCCCCAGGCTCTTGTCTCAGACTATATTCTTCCTATCTAGATTGAGCATGATTCACACTTTCAAACGTTGAAGTTTTGAAAGAGATCTTTCTTTCACATTTTGGGGGCTGAGAAACATATCTTTAGTTGCTCATGATTTTTTAAAATTAGTATTATTTTAATTGGACATGACTCACACAGGGGTGATGAATGCAGAAGGGACAAAAAAACACTCCCTCGCCATCACTGTCAGTTACACATCGCTACTGCAACACACACACACACACACACACACACTCACTCGAAGGTGCCCCACAGCCAGCTGGTGGATCTTCTGTGCGCATCCCTGCTCTTTGTTGTTAGCTCTGCCCCACCCCGCACCTCACAGGCATTGTGATCGCCCCCCTACCCCCCGCACAGCCACCACGAAGGATGCATGGATTCCAAGCAGGTGAGCTTGTCACAGGGAGGTTGGCAGTTAAGCCAGGGTTAAACAAAGCCACCTGCAGTGGGAAGCCTGCTGCGAGAGAGTTTAATTACCCAGGCAGCACCCCAAAGAGGGATTAAAAGGTCTCTATCATGGGGACAGCAGACTCTTAATTGAAATCCATGTTGCTATATTTGCATCCCTAGAGAAAATCAGCTGGCTTGGGGTTTTCCAAATGCTGAGTTCCCACCACTCCAAGGATTCAGCTCACGCTCCCACTGCTGAGCACAGGGACCCTGCCAGTGAGAACACCTTCTTCCTTCCACACTAACTGGGGGGCCGGAAGCTGCAGTCTCACATTAGTACCCCCCACTCATTGGCTCTTGATTTTCAATTACACTGCTATAATGTACTTAAAATCTGTCTTTTATTTGGAAAGATAAACACAGCAGTTTGGTAATTTCGTTGCTATGTCAATTTGCAAAGAAAATTCTATTTAAACTCAGGGACTGGCCCACTGCCACCTTCCCTGCCAGCGGCAAGCGGCTGTCTACGGGAACCAGGGTGGTGCCAGCTGAGTCTCCTGGGTGGAGGATGCAGCTGGCAGGAAATCTCTTGCACCCTTCCAGCTGCCCCCAAGGAAGCTTCAGGAGTTTTCTCAGTGTCTAAAACCCAGAATTAGAAGCAAAGATTGATTTTTCTTATTTTTCCTAGCTAGTTTGCATATAGCCGATATTAATTAGATGTGCGTGGTGTACCGAGCACGAAGCAAAGCATTCTCTTCCCACTGACTCCTCTGATCCTCGTGACCATCCTTCGGCTGTTACTATTCTTCCACGCCTGCCGAGAAAAGTGTAACTTAGAGAAATTAAGCACCGCGAACAAGCTCTCCTATTTGGCACCTGGATTACAATCCGAAGGTGGTCTGCCCACACCCACACTTGACATGTTCGACCACGATGGAAAACTGACTCTGTTCTCTGAGCTCATTCTTACCTACTGGTTCACGACAAACCCTAATAAATTAAGGGCCAAACGGCCTCTGCTCATTCCTATGTTGGCCCACGGCCTGACCATCACCAGAACACTGCCTAGGTCCGGATACAGATCACACGCTTCTCTGAAATCCATTAAATGTATACACCGGTCCCCTAATTTGAGTCAGAGACGGACTGACCCTGCACCCGCTTCCCGCCTGTTTCAGCTCCTCCGACTTGCCAGGCTCTTCCTCCCACGAGACCTTCGTGAACACTGTTCCTTCTACAGGAGCCCTGGCCCTGAGCCCCTCCACTCTGCAGCCCCTGCTCCCCTTCCCCACTCAGCAAGGCGTTTCCCTCCTAAACCCTCTTAGAGATCTACTCTGTGTTTCTCAACCCATTGGCACTCACCCAGCCAGGCCACTTGCTGCTATTCTGAGGGGTCCCTGAGTCCCCCACCAGAATGGACATCCCACGCGGCCGGGGAATGTGTCTCTTTCAAGACAATCATGGTCCCAGCACACAGGGCAGCACCTGGCTCATCAACAAACACCCATCCGTCAATGTCAACAGCAGTGTGCCGGATGACTTTAACCCCAGGAGTTCATAGCTCAAAGGTTAACAAACTTGCATGCTGATACTGGGTAACAGGAATTCATGAAAGCATAATTCAAAGCATAGAATCTACTAATACTAAGTGACCTTTCTAAATGAAGACACATTGTCAACTTTAAAAACTAACACAAGAGGGCCGGGGACTCAGCTCAGTGGCACCATGCCTGCTTCACAAGCACAAGGTCCTGAGTTTGATGTCAGGTACCAAAAAAAAAAAAAAAAAAAAAAAAAAAAAAATTTTTTTT